CATTTGACAAGATTCAAGAGGTGAAAAGAAGATGTTCTTCAAGTGTTCTTGGCCTCCAAAAGTGCTCCAAACTCCAGAGAGAAAAGCTCAAAATCGGACCTCCAAGATTATGCTAAAGAGGCACACCAACCTTCCCAATATAGAGCTCTAAGCAAAATCCCGAAATTGCCCTTGTCAGGAATCCACGCGGGCCGCGGGTACTGACGGGAATTTTGGGCTTCTTCAAGTCTTGGGCCCCCACAGCTAATCCATTGGCCCAGTTCGAGTCCAATCAGCTTCTAGCCCATTTTTCTTCAATGTTTCTTCAATTTGAGCCCAATTTGTCTTTCCACATCACTCAAAACTTCCGCAAACTCCCAAATATTGATCTTGCATACTCAAGAATTCTCCCGCATCTTTCAAATTTAAAGCTCAATTCTTCCAAGCCTTCAAGCAATTGACAAGTCCACCCCATGAATCACCTTCATAGCCATCAAGCATAAATCTCCAATTCCCTTCAAGCCCAATCGCCTCCCAAGAGTGCCGCCCCGCTAGTTTCCAAGAAAATCTGCAATAATGCTCAAGAAACTAGAAAGTACCCCGAAATGGTCATAAAAATAACAAAAGGGAAAATATCCATGAAGTTAACTAAAATGTGAATGAAATGTACTAAAATAAACTATAAAAAGAAGTAAATAAAATGAAGCTATCAAATCACCCCAAGCTTAAACCTTACTTGTCCTCAAGTAAGACAAGACTAAATGAACTTGGGATGAACTACCCTAGAAATAAAAAGAATGGATAGAACCATGGAACCTGTTCGACGTTAGTCAACATGGTCAGAATTGATTTCGCTGCTATCTCACAACTTTTTCATCCGATGACAATGGAACCATAAACCACAGCCAGGACAACTCCTTTAGGTGAGTAAGGAGGGATGAGCAGTCGCAGCCTCAATGGAACATGTATACAATGAAGAACATCTGTAGTAGGGAGAAAGCAACTGGATGGGCTCGGGTGGAGCTCTTCTTTAAGTGCACACTCTGATCTCACATCTGCCGGTTTCTCTCATGTGTAACTAGGTTTAATCGCTCGGGCACCGTTGTAGGAATCAGTTCACTTAGTGTTGGCCCAAACCTCCCGTAGTATCCGACTCGACAGTCTCTCTAACATCACCAATTTGCGAGAAAGAAAAAATAACAACTCGATCTATATACAATAAAACAGACCTATACAAATGAATATCAAACGCCGGGTGACCAAGATGTTGGGAAATTTGTTCAATAATTGAACCGGCCACCTATCTAAGATAGTTGCAACTGAAAATTTGCGTGCTTCTTTTTTTTTTTTTTGAAAGTTGTATTTATCGTTTAACAAGAAAACCCTTTGACTCAAAATTTGGTTCCCAAAGGTGTGTAAGTGGAACCGAAAGGGTAATGATATAATCCGAATGGCCTAAGTGTGAAAATGACCATGTGTGGAGCATAAAGATGTAATGTAAGCTCCTTTTCAAACTTGTGGTTTTTCAAAGATAATGAAAATGTCCAAATGTGGACTAAAGACTCTCTAAAATTCTAAGAAAATCGCAAAAAAAATATGGTGATGTAAAGAGACCGGATATGGATTCTACTCGGGGACAAGCACCAATGCTTCATCCTAACAGTTCAAACATGATCAAGTGTGATCCTCTCCGCGGTAGTGACCGCAAGGCTAAGAACACCCATTGCTATAGTATATCCTACAGTTGTTAGTATTGTATGCATAATTCTTCATGAAACTACCTGGCCATGATCACTTACCCCTTTAAGCTACCAACATCTGATCCCAAGTATGAAATCCCAAACTGCAGCTAGTGGTCCCGATTCGATGGGTGAGATAGCAACAAGATCCTGGACCAATAATGATACAATAACTGTGAACCTGTTCCATGGCATCCAAGAGAGGTGAGAATAAACAGACAACAAAAATGCATGAATGCTAATGTCTTAGGCTAAATGTTATGCAAATATATAAAAGGTGAAAAAGAAGAAAATAAAATCTTTTTGAAATTTTAAATAAAAAAAAATGAATGAAAATTAGCTTAATACTAATATGTTATGCAACTTAACTAAAAATTCATGAAAAATTAAAAAGAAAGGGAAATGCCCCACCCCAAGCTTAAGAACAAGCATTGTCCTCAATGCTTAAGGAACGGGCGGAAATGACCTAAATCGGATGGTTAGGTAGAGCATAGGGGTTTGTAGAGGAGGAAAAATGGTGAAGAATGGCGGTGGTCTCGCGGGATTCCGACCGGTAGATCTTTGGGAAATCGAGTTTTTGTATGGAGCGCGGGCCGCGTGTTGGCCGCGTCTAGTTTTCTCGAAATCCCACTGATTCTTCTGACCTTTCACGTGGGCCGCGGGTTGGCCGCATGGAGGCCGCGGGACCTGAAGCTTGAAAATGGCAAAAAAATCGAAAATCTGCGCGGGCCGTGTGGAACCCGTATGATGGCCGCACAAAGTCTTACGCGGGCCGCATAGAACCCGCTCGCTGGCCGCGTGTGCTGAACAGGGTTGGAGGTGATTCTTCTACGCGGGCAAGGAATGGGCCGCACATAAGCCGCACAAGACCTTACGCAGGCCGCGTGGATTTTCCCGCGGGCCACGTGACTTCCTGCACCTCAAAATTTCAAATTTTTCAAAAAACTTGATTTTTGGCCTAAATGATTCCCACGAAGTCCCGGTTTCAAAAACACAATAAAAGGTTTGGACCAAAGGTGAGAATAAAGCTTAAAATTTTTCAAAAATGAACATTTTTAAAACAAAAAAAATTTTCAAAATCATTTTATTCGGTTTATAAAAGACGAAAGCAGAATGCTTCCCAAGTCCATCTTTGGACTCGCCGAGTAGGCCACTTGACTCGCGACCAAGTCGCGACCCTACTCGCCGAGTCCATCCATGGACTCGCCGAGTTGCCCTTCAAAATTTACATTTTTAGTCCTTCAACTCTACTCTTGCTATTCCGGGATGTTACAATTCTCCACCACTTAAATTAGGCTTCGTCCTCGAAGCCTACGACAACTCATCTCCAAAAAAAATACTCCCACAACACGCCACCTGGCCTTAACCGGACCAGCTCCTTCAAGGTATACCCATCAAAAGTCGAACTCACCTTCTCCTTCCTTGCGGTGTCCTGACCACCATCTCAAACCGGGCACCCGCTTTACCCTTACATAGCCACACACAACAACTGAGTACCACCCATGATGCATCACAGCTCCAAAACTCAACCATTACTCGACCCATATGAGCTATAAATAACTATGCACACCCGATCCTTGATCCGAGTCCAACTCTATCCATCCCATGCTGACAGAAAGACACACTCTTCAGAGCAACTCCCATGAGTTCTCTTCTTGCAATCGAATACACATGCTGAACTAGTTCTAGCACCCTCGGGTTAGGAAACCCATCACTCTGACGACCCTCAAAACATCCCTCAGGATGAACCACTGATACACAAATCCTTTACCGAAATCAAACTGGGAACCCAAAACTCCACATCTGCATCCCTTACGAGCCTTTGGACTCTACACCCGTGGAATCCCTTCAACATCCTCAGCAGACACCCCATCATGATGTCATTCCATACCACCACCCACTACAAGAAAAATAGCCTTTTACGACGCGCAAACCACGACACTCATTGATTTATGTTACGCAATGGAGAGTGATGTTAAAAAAGCGTCATCTCTTCAAAAAATTTAAGGATTTAGGTCACGCATTATTGTGTGCCCTTAAATTAGCGTCATACGAGAAAAAAAATTAAAAACACGGAGGGCACTGTATCTTAAATGAGCGTCCTCTATGAGTGTCACTTTATAATTTTAATGAAAAGCGCGTTTAGTAGATAGGGGGGAAAATGAAATCCCTAAAATTTTGAACACCCGCCTTCTTTTTTATCCTCCACTTTTGTTTCCTTCTTGCCCTAATTACGATCCTTTCTTCCCCCTCCATAGATTCGACTGCTGCCTTGCCTAGTTATCGACACTCCTTCCTTCGTTCGTCACTTTCCTTCTTCGCCTGACAATATCTCAAGAAGTACAACTCCGAAAGCGTACAAGCTGCTATCGGTTTCGCCATAGAGTTCCGCCGTTCCAAAATCGCATATTTTCGCGTTGAGTGACTATGATTGGGTTACAATTATGCTTGAGCCGACGATTGGGTTACAATTATGCTTGAAAGTGTGAAGAACTTACATGCTCCATCTACTTATATCCTAGAGCCGACGATTTAGGACCTTACCGCTTCTCATCCCACACAGCGCCGGCGATTTAGGGCCTTACAAGCCCTAGCTCGGATTGAACTAAGAATTTAGCGAGAGAAATCAAGATTTTTGGTCATCATCATCACGTTTGCATTAGCATCCATAGGCTACAGATCTCAAATTCCTCTTCGGATCCTCGTAATTGACCTTTCCCAAGATCTCGATTTGATCAAACTTACATATAATTGCAGTCACCGGTCTACAACCTGGTTATATAGTTCATTTTTGCACTAAACATCTCAGGATCTGATCGAGCTCTCTCGCGGTTTCGTTCCCCTTCAAGAAATCTCTTCCCTCTCCCTCTCTCGTAAACCCACCAATTTCTCGCTGAAAGCGCGCGGCCTTTGAATCAGGCATCTATTTTGAAATTTTTGTTCGAGGAAGAAAGGGCTCGCCTTCTTACCCAGGTCTATTTTCCTTCATCTTTTATTTCAACGATTGCTCTGTTTCATCTTTCTTGGTTAGATCATGTCGATTATGCATATGGGTGGGTTATTACACTTTAACGCTCCTTTGAAATCAGTTAGGGTTACATACGAAAAGAAAGAAAACCCTAATCTGAAAGAGCTTTTAGGGTTCTTACAGACCTTCTTCAAGTACCTTCAACATGGTTACGTAGCTATAGATTACTCACTTTTTTCTTCTCTTATCTTTCCTCTTTGCTTTTACAGGTAATACGACATGATAGTCTGGTACAACTCTTGCTTCTTGGCAGGATGTTACAGGGGACCACCAAACTTCCATGGAAATTTTCACACCATCCAGCTGCTGCTGGTACGTTTTTCACAGTCATGCTACTTGGACTTAAATTCTGCACATGCCAGTATGAAGGGAGCCTACAAAATGTTAGATTGGGAATTCAGCTGCTGGAAGATGGGATTTATTTTAATTTAAATTCTGAAGTGGAAAACTGAAACCAACTGCAGGGCTGCATTAGGCTGGTTTGCTTACGAACCTGAATGGTTTGAACATGATCATGGAAATTTTGCACACATCGAGGCTCAATCTGTTAATTCATTTGTTCACTATCTCCAAAACGATCCAAAAGCACTGGGTGGGGAATATGGGGGATCTTTTCTTGACATGGTAAGACACCGATATTGCTATTTATCATGTTGTCAAGGCCGGCCCAAGGGCAGGGCGAGCTGGGCCGTCGCCCAGGGCAACAATATACCATGGGGCATCAGATATTGTCCAACTCTTATGGGTATCACTTGTGCCAAAAGTTTGATCGCACAAAAATATTGTAGTGTTGAAATGCCAAACAGATGGCAGCAATTCTTTAGCGGCTAAAAGAATGCATTCAACTGGTTGAAGAAGACGAAGAGACGATTGGAAATAAGAAGGTATTCGAGTATTTATGGGTGGCAGTGGTCGCTTGTCACTCAAGATCTAATTCCTAATTTCTAATTTTCTTCTTATCAGTAAGAAGGTATCCTCCTAAATTTCTAGTTTTCTTTCTTATTACCTCACTGAGTCATCGACGGCAACCTAATTACCATCGTTGCTGCCTGGTGCTTCTTTCGACGGTATCAAAGTAGCGGCCTTAATGCGGTGTCAATTTTGCCTCAATTGAATTGTCATCCGATGGCCAACCCGAAGGTAAGACGACTTTCTCTGTATTCTTAAAATGCCCTAAATTCATGGCACATTGTTAATTGTTTTTTATAATACTTCTCGCCGTTCCAAGTTTTTAAGCCTTAAAGTTATACAATTTTTTATTCATTTTTCAGCTTTTAAATACATTTGCTAATCGGCTGTGTGTTATGGTAGGCTAATGATATAAGTGAGATTTACTTAAAAAATGTTTAACTTCAATTTATACTCAAAGATGCTAAAGGCTAACTTATTCAACTGAGATTTAGTGTATATATTCGTTTAGCAAAGTAAGCAAATCAATTGTTTTTCCCCTTAATAATATATCATTAAATTATTTTTAATCTTGTTGGTACAGTATGTAAATGTAGTGTTAGTTTTGTTATACATTTTTATGTTACTTTATTGTTTAAGCCATCAAATGTATGTTTATCTAGCATATGTTTTTTGGCACATTATGTTTTATTTATTTTTCATTTGTTTGATTGTTTGCAACAATGAATTTTAATTAATTACTTTTTTCAATATCAGAATTTCAATTTAATAGACTATTGGGACTTATATGGATGTCATTTAACATTAGTTTTTACTTTAAAAACATGTTGAACGCATAAAAGAAGAAACTATTAAAATTGTCTGTGCTGAACATTTATTCAGTAGCAGAGATTGACTAAATGGAGAAGACAAATGAGTTTCATGATAGACTTGATATCTTAATGTTAATGCAATTTAGTCTTAACATTTTTAATTTATTTATATGAAAACTAGTGTTATACCTTGGGTGCAGTTGTTTTCTGTTGTTTCTGACGGACTTCCTCATGAAAAGTTTGGTGATTAGACAATCTTGCCTTTGGCTCTTCATCAGGTGCAACAAGATTAAATTTTATAGGCGGTGAATCTTCCTGCGCCTTTCAAATTAGGGGTGACATAACTATCTTTATTAAAAATTTTGAAAGACCATTTTCATTTATAGTTTTGGTTTGTTTGCAGTAGTCTTTTAGTTTTCATTGTATTTTTCGATTCTGATGTGTTATAATTTAGTACTTTCAGCTGCTCCATGCTAGTGTTTATTCCATATAATATTTTCTGTTCAAATTAAATGGAGTATAAATGAGTTGGTTTTATATATAATAAACAAACGTAAGGCATCATTAAGCTTTTTTCGCCCCGGGCATCAAAACCCTTAGGACCGGCCCTGCATGTTGTGTTTTATGATTTTTTATTAACAATGAACAATCTCAGAAGGATCAATGTCACCCTGTTTGGGGACCAATGGAGAACTATGCAGCTTGTAGAGATAAGAGGAAGCAGCTACTTTTAATGTTATGCCAGCATGAAGCTGACAGGCTTGAAGTTTGGGCGCAACCTGTTAACTACAAGTAATTTCATCAACTGCAATTTTGCAACATGTGATCTCTTTCATCTTTTATTAGTTATCAAGTCCATTACATGTTCATAATAAAATACTATATTCTCATGATTTCTATTTCAGGGCCCAAAAGGTGTGTGTCTGTTTTCAAAAGGGCCCACATATTGTTTTACATTTATATTTACTATTTTATCCTCTTCTTTTGGCAGACCTCATGACCGAGTCCCTTTGAAAGACATGAAAGCAGATTGGAAAACCATGACATATCAAGAACTACCATTGGCCAAGGCTCGTCTACATGAGCTAGAATGAGTAGCATCAAGTCGACAAAAAGAGGTTATCATTATATAATAATTCATATAGATCCTTTCTCATCTGTTTTTTGGTGAATAATGGGATTCTAAGTTAGTTGTGTGTGTGATGTGGATGATGTAGAATTTGATAATGCAGCATGTAGAGCATTTAGCAGGGGATTTGATTCATCTGTTTCAAGGGATATTAAGATATGCTCCATTAGAGAGGGTAACAACACGTGCAGCATTAAGACATCCTTTCTACACCAGGGACAATTTGAGTAGACGATACTAGCTGCTGCTAACAATATCAAAACAAAGTATGTGGCGGTCAATCTAAATCTGCACACAGAAGGAAGGAAGGATGTTTTTGCTGTAGATGTTTTTATTTCCCGAGGGTATGTTTTGAGTTCCTACTGCACTGCTGTGTGGAAACCCCACCCACACATCTTATTGACCACCTTGAAGTCAAATTTATGTATAAAGTACAAACAAACAAACAAATGTAGAAAAAGAAAAGAGAGATGATTACAAGGTATGTGAAAGAGGAATGGGCATGGTTATGTTCTTTATCCAAGGTATTTTGGTCTTCTCTTTCTCTTTCTCTCTCTCTCTCTCTCACACACACACAAACACATGCATACACAACATGAAGGATCTTTAAGTTTTTAAACATTGAGAATAAAGTGTTCATTGTATTTCACTTTTTTTTAATTTAATTTAATTTAATTTAATTTTGTTCTCATTTTCTGTGCATACGTGCTTCATTTTGAGCAGTTTCTGTGTAGTTGAATGCTTGATTTTGATCTCTGGTTTCCCTAATAATGCTTTGGATTGAATGAAAGAAGTAGCAATGTATCATCACTGATCATGACACAACACCGAGAGGTCATCTTTAACAAAATTATCTTTATTATATGTGAATTACATGACAAAAATTTCAAATAACTTATAAAGATTTCTTTTTTCAGAAAATCAGCTTATAAAGACTGATCAAGTGAACATACTGATTAGATCACTTCTCCTTAAGCAACAACAAAGTCTGGAACAACTTCAAAGAATGCAAAGGGTGCAGGCACAAATGAGGGTTCAAGAAAGAGGTATTTAACTTTTTTTTGTTACACATACTTGTTTTTTATGCTCGCATTCATGGGATTAGTATTTATATATTTTTGGGAATGAAACATTACCATTTTCTCCCTAGGGACCCATAAAGAGCTATAGATGGTAGGGTTTCTGCTAAGAGGGCTTCTGATGAGATCACTTCTTAATTTACCTGTTTATATTTGAAACTGAAATGAACCTGTTGATCATAAGAAGTTACTTGAAGATATGAAGTCAGAAGCAATGAAGAATTTTGTTGTAGAAGGTCAACAAGTGTTGTTGACCATGGAAGGTAAGGATTTGACTCTAGAACAACAGAAAGAGCTTAACGAAATCAGGAAAAAGAAAAGTATATTAATTCGTGAACATAGAATCAAGAAAAGCACAGCTGAAAGCAGACCAATTGTTCCAAGAAAATTTGATAAGACAAGAGATTTACATCTGAGAGAAATGGTCATCATTAGGGCTTGATCCATCAAAAGCAGTGTAAAGGGTGAGAAGTGAGTCAAGGGGTAGAAAGAGGGAGTGGTCATCTAATTTGTTTGTAAATTTTTGTTAAAACATCTATTGATTTGTTTTATCTTTCCATGGAACGATTATTTGTATGACATTAAATTTATGCAATGGATTCTATTTTTTCTCTATGATATTTTATTTTCTATAATGAAACATTAAATACAAATTTAATTTGAAAATAAGTAAATCTATAAATAATATTTTTTCTAAACATTTAAAATTATGATATGCAAAAATGTGTATCGTCTTCATTTATGACATGGCCTTTCTTGACGGGGGCTTTCTTGATACGCATTGCGTGTCATTAACACGCGCGTTGTAAGGTTATGACATGTGAATGCGTATCGTCTTCCTTTATGACAGGGCCTTCCTTGATACGCATTGTGTGTCGTAAATGCGTGTCGTAAATGCGCGTCGTAAATGAGCGTCGTAGATGCGCGTCGTCTCTCTTTATGACAGGGCCTTCCTTGACGCGCATTTGCGCGTCGTCTGTGCCTTTTACGACGCGCAATGAGCGTCGTAAAAGGCTGTTTTTCTAGTAGTGACCGCAATCATGCTGCTCAGTGACCACCGTGGAACCACTCCGATCATAACTCTACACTGCCGCTTTCACTTCCGTGAATTTGCACTCCCCTTCGGAATTACATTCCTCCCTCTTTCCTTACCAAGGAAAACCACTTGACCGCCTCGTCACCATGACAAGAGCCACGGTGCTCACCCAACGCTACACCACCTCTTTATAGCATCACCGCTATCCAAGCAACACATATGCCCTAAATCTGCTCGCAAGGACTCTCGAGTCCGTGCACCATCTCCACTAATCAAGGTCAATACCCGGGGCCAGACCTTTTGATGCCAACACATCGCAGCATACTCAATTCATTACCTCTCACCGATCTGACGACACCCATAGAGTCTTCAGCATGACTGGACCACTCTCATGACCTTCAGCAGACCTAGACCTCCCTGCAGGGTCTTCAATCTAGCTGGACCGTTCAACTAGCAATCAACATTCCGAGTTACCTATCTGGGAAAACCTCACATGCATATTGTTCTAGCCCCTTAGGAGTTCCGAACTCTATCTCCATCATACATACTTGAACCTGGCCTGATCCCAGGCCTTGCACAATCAAGCTCTTGGTCTATATCCCGCCCCGCACGCTTGCCATTTACTCATACCAACCAATGCCCTTGGCTGACCGAGACACTACTGAATTCCATGCAGGTAACCAACCTTTCATACTCGTCAATCTTCCATAGAATCCTCCAATCCTCCCCCACTTAGGTCACTGACTACTAACCACCGGTCGCTATCACCGACCTCCCAAAAATCTTGCACCAAAACCCAACAATTACACGCAGACTGACTCCCACTAGCACCAACAACCTCTGCAAAAACACATTTCCACACCGAA